TCCCATTTTTCCTTCTCATAGGAATCATTTGTGATTGTGCCTTCAGTATTTCACTTTTAAGAAACTCCCATCCATCTTGAACTCCCTTCTCCTTAAATATTTCTGACCAGGGGATTCTACCCAGCATAACTTTAAGTTTGTCAAAATTTGCTTTCCTGAAGTCCAACCTATATGTCTGACTACATACAGCTTTTACTTTCCCCAAGACTGTAAATTCCAAACTTACATTGTCACTATTACCCAGGGTGCCCACTACTTTCACCTTATCAACCAGTTCTTCCCTGTTGGTAAGAATCAGATCCAAGGTAGCAGATCCCCTTGTTTCCCTCTCCACTTTCTGGATAATGAAGTTGTCAGCAAGACAAGTCAGGAATTTATTGGACCTTTCATTTTTAGCAGAGTTCCAACTTCCAACAGATATCCGGGTAATTGAAATCTCCCATGACTACCATGTCCCATCTCTTTTGAGAACATTGTAATCTGTTCTAGGAGTGTCTCATCCAAATCCTCTGCCTGGCTTGGCTGTCTATAGCAGACTCCCACCATGATATCAGTATTATTTCTTACTCCTTTTATTGTTACCCAGAGACTCTCAAGTGGACTTTCATACTCAGATTCATGTATTTCCTCACAAATATATAGCTCCTTTACATATAATGCAACTCCTCTGCTCTTCCTTATTTGTCTGTGCATTTTAAATAAGGTATACCCCTCAATCCTAATATTCCAATTGTGAGTGTCATCCCACCAAGTTTCAGTAATGTGTATATAGTCCCCTTCCTGTTTTAGGACTTCAAGTTCCTCCTGCTTGTTTCCCATACTCTGCACATTAGTGTAGAGTCATCAGAATCTGTGTTTCATGCACCCTGAGGTTTTCATTTCTGTACCTACATGTGAGTTAATGTTACCTAGCATACGTGCCACTCCCCGCAGAACTTTAGAGTTCTTATCTCCAGATATTGGCTTTTCATTTTTCTCTTGCACCCCCATCGGATTTAGTTTAAAGCTCTCCTTATTAGGTTTGCAAGTCTGTTTCCAAACACATTTTTTCCTACCCTCGTGAGGTGCAAATCATCTCTCAATAGAAGAGCTTCATTTTGAAAGTGTAAACCATGGTCCAAAAATCCAAACCTTTCCTGATGCCACCATCTACGTAGCCAATCATTGTTCTGCGGTATTCTCCTTTCCCTTCCTAAGCCATGGCCTTCAACAGGAAGAACTGACAAGAATCCAAACTGTGGTCCCAATTCCTTCACCTTTTTACCCAGAGCCACATAGTCTCTTTTAATACATTCTGGGCTGTGCCAGGCTGTATCATTTGTTCCCACATGGATGAGGAAGAAGGGATAATAATCCGTGGGCTTGATGAGTCTTCCTACTCTTTCCGTCACATCCTGGATGCCTGCAACCGGGAGACAACATACCTCTCGAGACGACAAGTCCAGTCGGCACACTTTAGCTTCTACCCCTCTCAGTAGGAAATCCCCAATTACCAACAAGTTGGTTCAAAACAGGACAGCTTGATTACTTATAGAAGCTGCTTTATCAGTTTTGATTTCCTTGTGCTGGCTTCCTGTTTGTTTCTAGGTTAATGGTTATTAGGTCATAAAAATGGTTATTAAGTATTAAAGCCCTTTTGTGACTTGAGGGACCATCAGCCCATGCATCAGTTCTGTAATGCCTGTAATAATTCCTCCAAGGTTATGGAGACACCCAGAAGCTGCAAACAAAGCAATTTCCATTATGTGTTCTAGGGAAAGGCACAAACTGAGGCACTTTTAGCAGTTCTGGGGGCATGGGCAAAAATCCAGCCACAGAATCACTGCCCCTCCACTTGCCAGGGCCAGGCCAGGCCAGGTCCAAGCAAGGGGCAGCCCTCAAGCCTGCTGCCACCATCAAGCCACCTGCCTAAGCCCTGGAGGGGGCTGCAGAAGCATGCTCTCCCTTTCCTTCCCCCCTCCACTGGGGGGCAGGGCCATGAGCAGTTGGGATCCTGACCAGCACAGGGCCTGGTACCACTGCTCTGCATGCCCCGTGGCTCATACCACCACTGGATACAATGCTGGACTGTTGAGGAGGGTGCCTCAGGGTGTCTAAAATTGTTGTTGGTGGCTTGTATGTTACCTGGAATTTAATTGTGTTCCTTTCTGTTCCTGCAGCCCATTCTGACCCTAAGAAAGATTTTTTAAAATAAATTTGATTCAATTTCTACCCCACCCTTCCTGCAAGCAGGCTCAGGACAGGTCACAACATTTAACATAAAACAATAAAATCAAAATTAAAACTATAAACTTAGCCCTTAAACTATGGCGATTAGACTGTGTCACAACTATTACAATGGTGCCCTGGTGTTAGAAAATTAAAGGCAGAAAGGGCTAGACTCCATAAGGGATTGCAGGTTATAAGTATCCTACCTTGGGTAAACCTAGGCAGTTATCAATCTGTGTCCTCGAAGATTAAACACCATGGTACAGATGGTAACAAAGAGGTAACAGGATGCTAACAGGAGGGGCCAGATGCTATTGGACGTCCGCAGTCTCACCCAAAAGCCTGACAGAAGAGCTTCATCTTAGAGTCCCTGTGGAATTGTAAAAGGTCCCCCAGGGCCCTGCTCTCTAGTGGGAGCTCATTCCACCAGGTTGGGGCCAGGGCTGAAAAAGCCCTGGCCTTGATTGAGACCAGATACACGTCTTTCAGGCCATGGATCATCAGTAAGTGTTGATCTAATGAGCGCAAGGCTCGACGGGACACATATGGGGAGAAGCAGTCCTGTAAGTATGTTGGTCCCTGGCCACTTAAGGCCTTGAAGGTAAGTACCAACACCTTGAAACAGACCTGGAATTCTGTCGGCAGCCAGTGCAGTTCATGGAGCACAGGCCGAATGTGCATCCATGAAGACGTCACTGTCAGCACCCTTGCTGCCGCATTCTGCATTACAGATGGTAACAAAGAGGTAACAGGATGCTAACAGGAGGGGCCAGATGCTATTGGACGTCCGCAGTCTCACCCAAAAGCCTGACAGAAGAGCTTCATCTTAGAGTCCCTGTGGAATTGTAAAAGGTCCCCCAGGGCCCTGCTCTCTAGTGGGAGCTCATTCCACCAGGTTGGGGCCAGGGCTGAAAAAGCCCTGGCCTTGATTGAGACCAGATACACGTCTTTCAGGCCATGGATCATCAGTAAGTGTTGATCTAATGAGCGCAAGGCTCGACGGGACACATATGGGGAGAAGCAGTCCTGTAAGTATGTTGGTCCCTGGCCACTTAAGGCCTTGAAGGTAAGTACCAACACCTTGAAACAGACCTGGAATTCTGTCGGCAGCCAGTGCAGTTCATGGAGCACAGGCCGAATGTGCATCCATGAAGACGTCACTGTCAGCACCCTTGCTGCCGCATTCTGCATCAACTGCAATTTCCAGATCAGATACAAGGGTAGACCTGTGTAGATCATTCCTAGGATTGTGGGATTTCTTCAGAAGAACAGCCCATGTGAGTAGGTGGGCTGAAGTAAGGTGGGAAAGAGAGATAAAATGCTTTGCTCAGCAATGGAAAGAGCAAATTCACATCCTTGCCCTCCTTTATGATTGCCCCCACTCGCAATCTGAAGAGAAACCAGGGTATGATTGCCCCCTCTCAATGCAAACAGCTGTGCTGGGCGCAGGACAACAGGAATTATCTTTCTGGGGGCCAGAAGGGGCTGCAGAAACAGAGAGGAATGCTGAAGACTCAACATTCCTGCATGGAGTGGTGGGATGCAGACCACTGTTCTTAGCCCATTGGATCCTAGTCTTAAGGAGAGCAGCAGGAGATAAGTGTTTTAAATAAACAAATTCTGTGGAATGTAAGTATTCAATTTTTGTTAGAACCCATCTGCCAGCTAGCATGGCAATTAGTCCAAGTAATACCGGGTTCCATGAACTTAGATTTTATTCAGATGAAAAGGTCACAAATGCTCATGCTCCCCCTTCATTTTTTTTTTTAAAAAGATGACACATTATCTTGTAGGACCTTTCTCTACCTATTTTTCTAGTGCTTAGGTTTCTGTGACCATAGCCAAAGTAAGGGCTACAGCTGGCTTGTGTAAAATTTGAACTCATGAGATCCCTTCCTCCTGTTCTTTTTATGGAAATAAGCCATAAAATATTTCTAATCCTTATTGCCTCAGATACATTTGTAGAAGGCTTGTTGTTCAGTGGGTCTCTATGTGACTCTGTGTCCCACTACAAAGAGCAACCAATTATGTTCCTCCTCGTATGCTCCTCTTCTCTCTTCCCCCCATTTGTCCTCCTTCTTTCACCATTCTCTTTGATAATTCAAAATTCTGCAGACTCTCAACATTTTAGGTTCATAACAATACATATATGGAGCAAAAAGGTATTGGCTGTATAAATTAAGCACTTCAGTTATCTTCATTTTATGTGTCAGCATGGCTCTAGCCAAAGATGCCAACAGAGTAACTCTTTCTTAGACTGGATAAAGTTTCCTTCTGGCCATACTGGCTAGTTTGTGCGGTCCAAAGACAACTCTACCATTGTGTCTTCCCCTCCCCCACCTATAGTTACTTGGAGAAAGGGTACTAAAAATCCTGATTTCTCTCCATCGTGGAGCTGGTGTATCTGGATGCGGAGAACACCCTGGAACCCAAATAATGGCCTGAACCTCACAGAAAATAATGGAAGTTATCCTTCTCCCCAAGCCAAATCCCTGGATGAAGGGAATACCCAGGTGTTCATTGGAGAGAGCCTGTGACATAAACAAGTGGCTACATCAAGTCTCTCCTTCTACCAGTAAGATTTCCCTACTCCATTAAATGATTAACATGGTAAATAAATACCAACAGTGCCATTGCAAAATCCAAATGCATTAGGTTTACAGATCTTTAAAGATCCACAAAAGAGATTTTGCCACATCCAGTGGGAGTCAAGGCTCTTTTTTAAAAAATCCACCCATTGCTGCATAGTCATTAACCATTTAAGCAATAATTGATGCAAACTAGTAAAATCCTGAAGCAGAACATCAGTTTTATTTGTAAACTCTTCTTTGGTAAACAAGACTGAACATGAAAGGTGACCGAAGATGAAAAATTAAGAGCAAACGAGAGAGAAAAACCCATTCCAGATGAGGGAAGTTATAAAACACAGACTATGATAACTAGCGATAAAGAAAGAGACAAGCAAGGCGTGGGGGAAAAATTGAGTGTCTAGGTTGGAGCCCCCCTTCTCCAGCAAACGAGATGCGGTCATACAGTGCTGCCCCTCCCCCACCCTATTGTGCAGATTCTGGGACCCAAGTCACAAGCAGATCAGCAAGCCTCATCTTATGGGGTTGGAAGGATCACCCAGGCGCAGGTCAGCAGACACCCCCTACATTTGCTCATTGTGGTGTCTTTGCCTTCGTGGTAGTGGCAGGGGAAAGGAGGAAAGGTGGCCAAGGGACACTACTGTTCTTTACATCGGGGGCTCATTGCAGAGGACGATTTCCAGTTCCTTGCGGTACAGCTTCCCCCCATCAGAGAGATTCATGATGCTCCTTCTGTAGCTTGTGAGCTGTTGGATTGTCATCTCCTGGTAAAGGGGAACACAGGAGGGAGGGCATGTTAGGTTCAGCTTCAGCTGGAATGATATTTCAGTCCCATTTGAAACCTGGTAGAACAGGGAAGGAGTCAGAGCACAGCTGGTGTGATGAAGATTTCCAAAATGTGAGAATCCCCTTTGCTCTCCCAGTTCCTTAAGCTTTGATGCACTGGAAAACCTAGCAAATTGCACCTAGAATTATGCATGCATTTCTGTGCCTCTTTAGGGAACCTCCTCTCAAAACAGAAGTGCATCTCCTGAGTACATTTGAGAGCAGAGAAACTGAATATTTTGAATGTCAAAAGCCAACAATATGAAACTTGTCCAACAGTAATTCTTTTTTCCACAACTAGGCACATGACAAAAAGCTGAGAACGGAAAACTTTAAAATCAGGTTTCAGATCTTAAAACCCCAGATTCCAAATACAGATTTTTGGGGAAAGGATCACCACAAGCAAGTTTAAAATGTAAGTTACAAAACAAGAACTTTCACAAGCATTTGTAGGATCTTGAATAATAATTTTTGTTGTCTGCAACTTTGAATGTAATTACTTCTGTCTAATGGATGAAGACTTCATGCATCCATTGAAATTAGTTCCAATTCACAGAAACTTATGCTGGAATAAAAACTGTTAACCTTTGAGGTGCCTCCTGTTTTAGTAAGACTACTGTAACTGCTCTGGTAGTAATGGGAAATGTGAGCTGGGGATGCCCTTCTAGTTTTGCAGGTCTCAGCCTGGACATGAGCAGCTTGCTCAGCCTAAGTATGGGTCATCAAAATCCAGAAAACCTGACAGCAAATTTACCAAGAATTCCTGGCATAAAACAGTATACCCATTTTCAACAGCCAGAGTCCTTTCCTCTGGTTTTGTTCGCTCCCGACAGCCTCTGCTCTAGTACAGCCATTTTATATTCCTGTTCCTCCTTTTCAACTAGCTTCACTTTTTGGGGACTAGTTAGCTCTGTGTGACTATACACAACACACTGCAAAAACTTACATGCAAAGAAACGATGATGATGCTGCTACAATGCCAGACCTTGAATTAACTTTGCCTTTCACACACTAAAGGTCCTCCCTCTCACGTGCTTTCCTCCGTCAATGAAAATGGTAGCTTCTCAACAATAAGTCACATTCAGGGATAAATGAGCTACAGTGTTATTCTGCATTCTTGTCTACTCCATAAGGTGAAATCAGGTCAAGAGACCTGTCATTTTCCCCTTTCATCCCTGTTCATCTAAGTTAATGGATGATGACCAGTGACAGGGATAAATGAAGCATCCCGGAAATAATCCATGGGGCGAATCGTGGATTAACTCCTGATCACATCACATCTAATTTGGCCTTGAGTATGGCTCTCAATTAGTTCCCTACCTATATGCATCCAAAGCCACCTGTCATGCTTTTGTCTAGCTTACTTTCTTTGGCATATTCATTTTTTAAACATGTCGGTTAATTAGTTATGTTTGGTAAAGAACTCAAAAGTTTATGTTATCTAGCTAGCCCCAAAAGGATTTCATTTCCTTCTTGTTGCATGGAAGGATGCTTCTGTTATCACCTTTACTTTCATTGCTTCTGGTTCTACAATTGTTTTTGACCATGATATGCATTTATTTTGTTAATATATATCTGGGCAGACTTGTTGTCAAGGTTGCATTAGAATACTCTCCAGTTCAGATGTTCCAAATGAATTTTCCAGTCAGAATTATTGCCGCATTGTACCAATATACAGCTGCATAACTTTTATAGGGTAGAAGCACCTGATCCAACAGTCTCTGAAACCTTCCTGGAGCCCCATGTAAACCAATGGGCATGGCGATAAATTCATAGGCTTCACTTACAAAAGCAGATCTACACTTGGACTTCCAAAGGGATTTACTATACCCCTTGGGAAAATGTAACATGTTAATAGATACTTAGCATTCCCCAGTATATCCAACAATTTATGGCACTGTGGGGGCAGTCTTCTGCTATGGAATGCATTCCTCAGATGCTAGGCACTCTTCAGTTCATTGAAGGACACTGTTCTTATGTGAGCAGAAGTGCTAGCTCTGGAGGAATGCATGGGACAGTAGAGGATTGCCCTCACAACAGAAAAGGGTGCAGTGCAAATAGAAGCAAGGTTTGAATCCAAACCAGTCTTTCTTGAAGCGGGGCAGTTTCTTACTACATGCCCAGGGTGACCAAACCCATAATATTTCCTTCCTGCATTCTAATTTAGATATTGGGCCCCTTGGAGAGCCAGTTTGGTGTGGTGGTTAAGTGCGCGGACTCTAATCTGGGAGAACCGGGTTTGATTCCCCACTCCTCCACTTGCACCTGGCTGGATGACCTTGGGCAAGCCATAGCTCTGATAAGAGCTGTTCTTGAAAAGATCAGTTTCTGTCAGAGCTCTCTCAGCCCCACCTACCTCACAGGGTGTCTGTTGTGGGGAGGGGAAGGGAAAGGAGTTTGTAAGCCGCTCTGAGACACCTTTGGGTAGTGAAGGGCAGGGTATTAATCCAGTCTCTTCTCTTCTTCTTCTTCTGGAGAAAATGACTGCTTTGGAAGGTTTCATTCCTGACCATGATCAGCTCAACTGCCTATTTAATTGTCTTTCTCAGTGGTCCTTAATCCATACTTACTTCTCCCCTAACAAATTGTCAAAAATAGCTCGACCGCCAGAAGCTCACCCATCCTGAGACAGCAGATCCTGATCTCAAAAACAAGTCTTTTAAATGGTGCCATGCTCCCTGAGGACCTTCAGCCTTCTTGATAGCCACAGGCCTGAAACGTCTTGTATGTCTCAGCATTAAACAGTCTCATCTCAGGTCTACTCCATAAGAATAGCTGGAACACTTCTTTGTCCTTTAGAGCTTTTATCATTTTGGTTAATTTCTGAGGTGGACATGGCGCTTGCTTCCATTGCTCTGCCTATGCTGGGCTTTGTGTTTACATTTCTTATAGTGCAATTCTGTGCATGGCTACTTCAGCCTACGACCAGCAATTTCAATTTCCAGAGTACCTCTGCTCTGTGTACTATTTCACTGTTGGTCTGCTGCCCAGAAAATGTTTGTTTCAGCAGTTCATTCTGCTGTTCTTAGTCCAGAAATTAACTGATCTCTTTCTTTTGTTAGAGAGCCAGCCCGGCGTAGTTGTTAAAAGGTTGGACTAGGTTCTGGGAAACCTAGCTTCAAATCCCCAGTGTGCCACAAATTTTGCTGGGTGACCTTGTGCTTGTCATACATTCTCATCTTAATCTACTTCACAGAGGTGGTGCGAAGGTAAAATAGAGGCAGGTAGGCTAGAGTACACTGCCACAAGAAGGCTGGGATAAAATATAGTAAAATAATCAGATACCTCAGTTGGACAAGGATCTACCTCAAAGAGTTGTTGTGAGGATAAAACGGGAGAGGAGAATGATGTAAGCTGCTTTGGGTCTCCATTGGGAGGAAGGTAGGGGTATAAATGAAAGTAAATAAATAAAATTCCTCCCATAACATCCTGCAGGGTCTATGGTGAGACATTAAATACTTGGGTACTCCGCTGCTGACAACATAAGAGCAAGGGGTACTCCTCCAGTCTTCTAAGTAAGAGGCCTGCTCAGCCCAATGAGGGTAAGCTTCTACAGGTGTAACTAGGAGAGGATCACAATGAAGAGGAAACCTATGGCTGTGGGTGCCGTCCAGCCACCACAAGCAAGCCTTTTCTCACAACCTTGTGAACTCACTTTCTTGTCTTTCTCATAGAGATCTTTCAGGAGGGCATCCAGCTCATTCTCATCAATGAAGCCATTTCCATCCTGGATATTATCAGAGGACAATAATACAGAGAGATTAGGAAATGCCATAAACTGAAACATTTGAGGCACAGCTGATTTTCCCTAAATGTCTTGTCTGACATCATTAGAAACTCGTGTTGCTTAGAGGCATACCAATCTTAAACTCAGACTCTGCCTACTGAAAATTATTCTTCAATATGCATTTTATTAAATAAAATATACATTTTACAAAGTGGTCTATTAGGACTAAGATCAGTTTTGTAAACCTTTGAAAATAAAATGGCCACCTAAAGGAGTTTCTTCAAATAGAGGTTTTCACTTGGCCTTTAAATGCCCCCAAACATAACCAAAGCTTCCAGGGAGGAAACCCTTAGGGATGGGGAGATCATGGTGGAAGCCCAACTCCTTGCCCCACAAGATGAAACTTTCCTAAGTGAGGGATTCGACCAAGGCAAATGAGTTCCTGTGGGGAGATGTGTTCCATCAGGCAGCCTGGAGTCAAGTTGTGGTAAACTTTGAAGCTCAAAATCAGCATCCTTGAATGGTGCTCAGAACACAGTGATAAGTATGACTATCCACATAAAACTGTTATTTTGGGGTCATTCAGAGAATATCCTGAGCTACTCTCCTGACCATCTTATAGGACCAGAACCTGGGACACTGGCGCAGTAGATACTTGTGGAAGGGTTTTGCCTGCTGGAATCTAACCATTTTGCCTGCTTAAGGGCAAGAACCAAGAATGGGCAGGAATATTTTCATAAAATACGGATGAAATGGGAGAGGATTGGGTTCTGGAAATCCCCATTATTCCTTGCTGAATAGGTCTGAAGTAGGGGCTATAGGCCAGTGGGAGAGAGAAGACTCCCCACTTCTTTCCAAGAGTACTCTTGTGCTGACATGAGTGTCCAGCACATCCACCAATCCACCCATGAACAGATGAAGTTTTTTATTTCTCATCCCAAATCTTGTACCTTGTCATAAAATGCAAAGATAGCATTGAATTCTTCCACATCTAATTTCACTCCCTGTGCAAAATAAAACAAAGAAAAGAAAGGATGAGAAGGGGAAAAAATGACTGAAAAGCTGCTGGAGAACAGCTGCTGGAGAAATTTTCAGAGCCTTTACCTGAAATTTAAGGAGGAAGTTCTCTTGCACAGGCAGCAATCTACAATATGAATGGGAGAACATCATTCATGGGAACATTCAAGTCAGGAAGAAAAGAGATCTGAACTCTGTAAGGGATGACAGTGGTGGTCCCACCAGGACCGCAAGTCCTGTAAATTGGTGGATACATAACACTGGGAGACTGGCTCATGGAATGCTGGAAGTGGATTTAGGAGCTAGTGAATGATCTACAAGGGACAGATCTGTAGTGGTAAGTTCTGTGTCTCCACTTAACCATTCGGGGTTTAGCTAAGGAAGACTGCACGTCAGAAGATGGGAGTAATTGTCTCATTTACAACTATGGTGACCACTTTCTGGGAAAAAAAGAGAACTCCTGTTTTGTTAAGAATTCAAGAAAGTCAAGTTTGCCTGAATCTGAATAGCCTGATTTATTTTCTGTGCTGTAATATCTCTTTTTTAAATTAGTAAATGGCAGCAATACCCCTCCATTTGGATTGGGATTATGACATGGGAGAAGGAAGTTTATATTCTTTCCATTCCTTCCCCCTCCCGAACTGCTATTTGCTCCTTTGTGGGAAATATATAAGTTCCTTAAATTTCATTTTTCTTATCCTACCACAGGGCAGCTGGGAAAGTGGTGGCATTTGTGACCGGACATTAGCTAACTCCACCTTCCCTGCGCACAGCATCCCTAATCGAGATGAGAGCTCCATGGCTGCTATTTACTGTTTAAAAAAACACTCTGGAGATCCATTCATGGATCTATTAGTGTTATGTCCTGGGAATGAATCATCCCTCATTGAATCACCCTAGAGACTGGCTGAGCTTGGAGCACAAGAACAATAGCCAACCAGGACTCTGGAATAAACCAATCAAGTAGTAATGTTTTGTAAATAGCCTATCACGGGGAATGTGTGTGTGTGGGGTAGGGTGTTTTGCATGCATATAAGCAGGGCTCCGGCCCTGCTAGAGTTGTCTTAGAATTAAGCTGAAATCACTAATAAACTGACCTGATCACTATATGCGTCTCGAACCCAGTATATTTCAATTAGCATCTTGTTTATTTTGATTCTGTAGCCAAAGAAATGACAGCTCACTCTACACCCAAGGACTCTGTATCTCTCAACAATGCAAATATCTTACCGTGACATTTCCGACAGGCAGAGCTTCCCGTCCCCATTCAAGTCAAACATCCTCAGCTGCAGGGTACAAAGTAACAGCCTGTTAGTGGCCCTCAGGATACAGGGAAATCCCCCACTGTGTGGCCTCCATTCGTCTTCCACATGCAAACTGTGTTGTAATTGGGGGGGGGCACAGCAGAACCTGATGTGTTGCTGGCTGGTTGAACATATTAAGCGATCTTATACCAAGTCAGGCCCTGCTATTCCTTGGAGGTCTCTCATCCAAATACTAGCCAGGGCTGACCCTGCTTGGCTTCCGAGATCTGATGAGATCAGAAAAGATAAATGAATTCACAGATATGTAATGAGGCCCTTTCTCTCTTCCAGGCTGTAGGTCAGGAAAACACTGGAAGCCAGTGTTCCCTCTAAGCTAAGTTAGTGTGAGCTACCTCACAGTTTTTTAGCCTCCGGCTCACACATTTTTGTCTTGGCTCAGAAAGGATGGCTCCAGGGCAAACTAATTTACGCAGCAGCCAAATCGCTCACTCACAACTTTAATGCCAGTAGCTCACAAGGTAGAATTTTTGCTCACAAGACTCTACAGCTTAGAGGGAGCATTGCTGGAAGCCCCAAATTAATTCTGTAGTATTTCCAGTTGAATAGATGATAGAACTGAAAATCATACAACACTCAGGTTGCAATCCCATGTGTGTTATTTTGGGATCAAGACCCACTGAACACAGTGGGATTACTTTTGAGTCAGAATGTATATTATTGCAGTGTCAGTTGTTTACAGTTTGCCTTTCACATTTTCACAAAATGCAGTGGTGGAGGCAGCAATTTGCATTTGGTGTATAGGCAGGGATTTATTTTCCCTTCCTCCCCTGGTGGTTTTTCCACTAAAATTGCCTTGCTTAACTGCTTGCCCCCACCATCATGAGCATCATGTATCGTTTGGTACCCTGGATTAGGTAGGACCTGGGTGATAGGGTGGTGCTGGGATTCATGTACGCTTCCTTCTTGCCACCTGTAGAGTGATGTCTGAACACTGGTTTGCTTTAGAACTTCCTCTCCACAGTATAACATTTAAAAGGTTTATTCCATCATTCTTAAACAGACATCCAGGAAAAGTTAATTCCATCATGCTTAAACAGAAGTACCTGGAAAGCCCCATTGTGCAGAATATTTCCTAGTAATGCACCTGCAAATGTTCAAAAATACAAGCCATGGCTCCTCTGATCAGGATAAGATAGAGAAATTACTTTTAAATCCTGACCATACAGCGATACACCAGATAGCAAAATTCTGTTTTCTGGTTGTAAAAGCTCATCAGTCTTCAGGTAGCCACTTGGGTTAGATTCCCTCCCAAATAACTGACTTTTTAATTCTCAGTCTTTTATCTTTTTAAGACTAAATTATGTCCTTTTTACATTGTATTGTTGGTTTTAGATTTTAAAATGCTTGTATAATTTTACATAAATAGATTCACCATCTGGATATTTTAGATATTGAAATCCAGACATTGCAAAATTTTGCTCCTTGGCCGTAAAAGCTCATCAGTGTTCTGGTTGTCACTTGGGATTGGACTTTTTGATTTTAAATCTTATTGCCTTTTTTGTCATTCTATTTTACTCCTTTAAATGTATTCCATTGCAGCGTATTCTTAAGTCTGGTTTTAGTGATCAAAATGACCGCTTAATGTTCCTTAGTAACCTTCTTGTTTTTAAAGTAGTTTTACCATTTGGTTATTGTAAGTTACTTTTATGGTTTTTTATAATTGCTGGCTATGTGCTGTAACAATAAAAATTCATTCACAAGCCAAATCTGTAAAACAAAGTGTAAGTCCAGTGGCACCTTTAAGACCAACAAAGTTTTATTCAAGGTATGAGCTTTTGTGTGCACGCACGCTGCCTCAGACACAATGAAATGGAACTTAAGTGTGCATGCACACAAAAGCTCATACCAACAAAGTTAAAGGTGCCACTGGACTCAAAGTAAATTCTGGTTTCTCCTTATGTGCATAGTACCCTCGTCTCATCTGGTTGCAGAATTTCCAGGCTGAGTCTCACTGGAGCCCAAGAGTTTTCCTCTCTCCCTGTTGACCTGGACAGCCACAGTTTCCAGAAAGCTATCTGGGCTTTGTGCACAATCTTTCCAAACTGAGTAGCCTTCCATGGGAGGCCAGATACCTCCCACACTTACTATAGTCTGTGTGTATTCTTGTAGCTTTGGTTCCTCATAGGGCTTGTTTGCTTTCTCTAACAAATCTGATAGGAACCCCTGCAAAGAAAAAGAGACATGATGAGAAGTTGCCAAGTGATTTACAGCCTGATCATACACATGTTTACTCAGAAGAAGCCCTACTGCTCTCAATAGGAATTGTATCCTCATTAGTACATGCAGAATTGGACCTAAAGACCAAAGTTCTTATGGGTTAACTGTGTCTTAGCGTTTGAAAATGGCAGCATCTGGTTCCCTCCTTTCAGAGCAGTGTCTAGCTAAAGAAGCATGTTGCCACGTGTGACTCTGCCCCCCATATGGTGGCAGCCAGTAATGTGGGGAAGGGGTGGCGTGTCAGAAACACACTACATAGTCAGAAACAATAGTGGTGTGATCTCTTTTGATAAATGTAGTGAAGTAGTGATGTACAGTACAAAATAAAGGGGCAAAGGGAAGAAATGTTTCATGATACCTTAGAGATGCCCCAAATATGCACTTAGTAGCATTCTTCAAATGAAGTAACACAAGATGTGTTGCAGACTTAATTGAAGAACAAAACTTGACTCCAGTAGCAGCTTAAAGACCAAGAGATTTTTCCAGCGTATACACTTTCATGAGTCAAAACTATATCAGATATGACAGGTGCCTAAGGAAGTGAACGTTGATTCACAAAAACATATACCCTGGAATATTTTGTTGGTCTTTAAGGAGCTACTGGACTGGAATTGTGTTCTGGTACTACAAACCAACAAAGCTGCCTGCCTGAGTCTTAATTGGAGTATATGGTGCTGGGTACAAAATGGACTTCATGAGACTATTCACCCTTGGAGAGAATCCAGCAGTTAATCAGAAGCCCCTTCCCAACTGGAACATGGGAAAGGGCCATGGCTCAGTGGTAGAGCATCTCCTTGGCATGCAGATGGTCCCAGGTTCAGTCCCTGGCATTGCCAGTTTAAAAAGGATTCTTTTTTAAGTAGTAGGTGTGCTGGCTCTGGCTGATCACCACAAACACAATATACTAAGCTAGGTACAAAGTCCAAACCAAGCCGAGAAACAGTGCCAGGGGTTGGGATGCCGGGAGATCAATCAGAGTTCTCCGGAGTGAGGAGCGGAGGCTGGCAGCCGGAACAAGGTCCAAGATCGCACGGTTGCATCCGCACCGAGGCAGGTGAGCGTGGCTGCTTATGACGGAGCCTCCCTTCCCTGGGAGGCAATCTGCAAAGACTCACAGCCCCTCACATTGCCTTTGCAACAGCTGAAGCCTGGCACTCCTCCTTCTCTGTTGCACATTCAGATCCTGGCGTGCCCTGCATCTGGGACATTCAGGTGAGCTGGGTGGGAACTCTGGCCTCGAGGTGTCTCCAACTGGGGGTGCTGGGCCAGGCCCTGGACCAGGCTTTTCCTCCGACTGCACCTCAGGCACCTCCAGTGCAGATGCTGGGGCCTCTTCTCCTTCAAATGCTGGCAAAGGTTCCTCTTCTAGGCTGACTCCGAAGGAGGCTGGGTTGCTGCATGTCTCTTCTTCGTCTGAGGAATAGTCAGCCTCGGCTGAGCCAGGACCCATGACAGTAGGTGATGTAAAGATCTCTTCCTGAGAACCTTACAGACCTGATGTCAGTCTGCATAGACAATAATACTGACCCTGATGGACCAAGGGTCTGATTCAATATAAGAACTTAATGTGTTTATGTATGTTCAATGTACATGTCCCTTGTAAGAAATTATAAGCAATTAGCAGTATGATGGTTGGGATGTGTAGACGGGAGACCCACACTGCAAGGAAATGCAGGCATTCTCTTTATCCATGCATTGCACCATCTCAGCCTCCTTCCCCTTCCCCAGACTGCCATAATGTGTGACTTAGGCCTGGCTGCAGTCTCCTGCTAGTACGTGCTACCGCCAGTGGTGCTCTATGAGTAGGGGGGAAATAATGGGGCTGGGGAACACTCCCCCTGCCTTGGGCATTTTATTTAGTTATTTACTACATTAATAGTCCCTTCTTGTTGAGTCTCCGGGTGGATTACAGGATTAGAAAGAGATGCATTAAAGACCAGCAGAACACATATATAGCAATCAGTCCACTAAAAATGGATTACAGTATTGAAGAAGAGATTGGATTTATACCCCACACTTCAGTACCCAAAGGAGTCTCGGAGCGGTTTACAATCTCCTTGCCTTTCCCCTCCCCACAACAGACACCCTGTGAGATAGGTGGGGCTGAGAGAGCTTTTTCAAGAACTTCTCATGAGAGAACAGCTCTGAGAGAACTTGTGATTGACCCAAGGTCACACCAGCAGCTGCATGTGGAGGAGTGGGGAATCAAACCCGGTTCTCCCAGATTAGAGTCTGTGCTCCTAACCACTACACCAAACTGGCTCTCACCCTAAAGAATAGGGTTGTCAGCCAATGACTAGCACCCAGCTGTGGCTGGGGGGGCAGGGACATAGGGGTGCTGTCATCACATGCTTTGTGGGGCCAGTTCTGGGGGAAAGCAGAAGTGCCATCACATCGTTCTATGAACTGCCAGAAACTTTGTGGTAAAACCATACAGTTTCCAGCAAGTCCTAGAGCAATAGGGTTGCCAGCCTCCAGGTGGGGCCTGGGGATCTCCCGCTTTTACCACTGATCCCCAGCCGACAGAGATCAGCTCCCCTGGAGAAAATGGCTGCTTTGAAGGGTGGACTCCATGGCATTGTACTATGCTGAGCCCCCCAAAAAAACCACGCCCTCTCCTGGCTCCACCCCCAAAGTCTCCAGGTATTTTCCAACCCAGACTTGGCAACCCTATAGAGCAACATGACAACACTTCTGAGTATTTCCTGCAAGTCATGTGTGACAACTGCAATTTTTTCTCATGTTGCCCAAATGAAGACTGGCAAATAAGCACGGAATGGAAGACCTGGCAACTGTAGGAGAGAACAATGAAATGAGTACAATATAATCCATTCAATAAACAATGCAAAAGGGGTGGGGACTGTCTAAGTTTTTTAGACATTGAAATTACAATCTTTTTATTAAAAGAATCATTTTGAACACTTCTGTTTTATTGAACATTTCTTTTTTACTATTATGTCCTTCTGTTCCTTTAGCCAGGGATGTGCAAGAAGCATTTGTGTGAACAGTGGGGGATGGGTTGGTGGTGGTAGCATAGAGGCCAAAAGTGTGAACTGCGAGCCACTAAAGTCACTGGGACAGCCTTCTATTTGTTTTCTCCCTCAGTATGGATTTCATAATACTAGCTTACTAGAGATGACTATGACTGTCTCTAAAGTGTTTTCAACACATATAACTACTAAGTATTCTTATTACATTGATTCTTCAGTTCAGTTTTGCATCAGAAAACATGCACCACTGGTTTCAGCAATTAGCATTATTATTATTAATAATAAGTTTATCTCCGAGCCATTTTGTATCTGGTATCACAAGGACCCCAAAAGGACTTCTTGTACGACCCACCTGGAGCTCATTGGCTTCTATGTAGCCGCTGCGGTCTGTATCATATTTCCGCCAGGCCTACAGTGGAAACATCACAGATTTGTTACAGTAATCAGTAATCAATGGGAAGCAAATCTTTGGTGTGGTTTTTTTTTTGGTACCCAAATTATCAGCATTGTCACATGTAATGCATGTTAAAAGAAATACCTAGTGATCCCTGCAACCTTTGGCGATCCCATGATAAGATTTTGGATTATTAATCAGAATTTATGACTACCTTAAATATATGTTAATTATGGTAAATGTCAAACATTCGGATGACCACCAATGGGAAGTATTAAAACATTTCATTGGTAAATCTCAAGGCCAATCAAATGTCTATAGCCAATGACCACTATTTATGGATAATGACTCAGGCCATTGCCCATCAAAACTACATTTTGTTATGTATCTATTTTTTATTGTCCCCATTTTATTGAAAGAACCAATAAATTATGCATTTTCTCCCTTATTTGCTAGTAAATGATGGCATTTTACTAATATGGACATGGAAATGCCCAAAATTCTTTTTTCTCTCTCAAAGGACAAAACATATAACAATAGCTTAAAGAATATGAAAAAGAGTGCCCTCTAAAATGCATCAAAAATTATAATCAAAGCTTCAGACACTAAAAATAGAATTTCCCTATAAACCTAAAAATGTATACAGAAGAAACACCATCCTCTGCTTTCTTGTCTCCTAAACATGAGACAAGGCTCTTAAAAAAAGGCTGAGAAGCTCATATTTATACTAAACTAACTCTAATGAAGCAGCATTTCATTTCATGGTTCTTCCTCAAAAACAAATAAGGTCTTTTAATTTTTTTAAACATGAGAACAGATTCTATTGACAATGTATTTGTCTCAAGGATAAAATGATCTCTCGCGGCCTCTAATTTAACTGCTTTATAATACGGTTTGATGCTAGAAACCCCAAATCCTCCCTCCCTCTCTGTTTTATACAAAGGGTTTTAGAACCCATCCTGGGTGGATTAACCAATCAAATGAACTTAAACATGAACTTCTGCCAGCTATCTAATGGTGAGGATTTAACTTGCAAAAGGATTTTAATAAATAAGTAAATAATTTTTGGCAGAATATTCATCTCCACAGTGGGGACTTTGCCCAGCCATCAAAGACAGAGGGGATGCCAAAAGCTTAAGACTTTTTCCACCTCTGAGAGTAACATCTAATGATTATTTCTAACCAATGAATATCTCCAAATCCTAGATATTTAATATAATCCATTTTCCTTACCATGGAGCAAAATTTAGCCAGTCCATTTTTTTACAGACTGTATTTATACTAAAGACCCATCTATTCTGATTTGTCTAGATTAACCTTGTACCCTGAGGCTTTACTAAATGAATTCAAAAGCTGTACCAAGTCTTTAACAGATTCTTTAGGATTAGGCAGGAAAATGTTCAGAATTATAAAGAAATGAAATGTTCTCAGGCATTTTCATGCACTTATTAGGAACTAAGATTGCCCCTCCCCCATCAAATCTGGGACCTAACTTTTGGTGGGTGGTGATTCATGTCTGACATCGAGAGCTATCGTAGGTATGGGGAGGAAAAAAACATTTGAAGGGCACCCCACGCCCCCACCAATCTCAGGACATGACTTGGCTTGGGATGAATGCTCCCTCTAAGCTGTGGAGTCTTGTGAGCAAAAATTCTACTTTGTAAGCTACTGGCATTAAAGTTGTGAGCGAGCAATTTGGCTACTGCATAAATTAGTTTGCTCTGGAGCCATCCTTCCTGAGCTAAGACAAAAATGTGTGAGCCGGAGGCTAAGAAACTGTGAGCTAGCTCACACTAACTCAGCTTAGAGGGAACACTGTGACTCCTTCGTTGTAGCAGCAGTGCTTAGGGGAGCATGGTTCAGAACCTGCATACTGGCAGCTGGCACACTGGTGAGTTCAGGGACAGAGCCAGGTCTCAAAACACAGACCTGACCTTCCCACTTAGTATCTTCTACACACACACACACACACACACACACACACACACACACACGAGGATGTATTGTGTGGTGGCCACTGGCCATTCTCATACTTGTAGACTATGGGGTACAGCAAATAGAGTATAGTAAATACAAAATAAATTGCTGAAAAAGTTCACAAAAATATAAAGATGTAATACATTTCAAATATCAAAGATGTAATTTAATATTTGTTTTCCAGCAGGTGCTAGCAGGTATACAGCACAGGAACAAGGACGAACACTTCTCGAGTCTATCTGCGTTCGTTTCGAGTGATCTTTCTCAATCTCAGTCTTCAATATTCAATGAACTTCTGCAATTCAATGCACCACAAGGGTATCCAAAACATTCAAAATGGCTCACACAGCTCCTACACACTGATTCTTCTACATGGACAAGACTGACTTGTGGTGCCCTTGTGGTGCATTGAATTGCAGAAGTTCATTGAATATTGAAGACTGAGATTGAGAAAGATCACTCGAAACGAACGCAGATAGACTCGAGAAGTGTTCGTCCTTGTTCCTGTGCTGTATACCTGCTAGCACCTGCTGGAAAACAAATATTAAATTACATCTTTGATATTTGAAATGTATTACATCTTTATATTTTTGTGAACTTTTTCAGCAATTTATTTTGTATTTACCATTCTCATACTTGGCCACTGATTTCTAGCTTCAGGGGACACACAAGACCAAAATAGATGAAACAAAGATCATCTCTGAAAGGCAGACAACGTCTGCGTGCAGTTGTGACTCAGATTGGGACCACACGAAGAGGACGGAGAGGGACGTGAACACTTCACCCCTGCTCAGTTTTGCTAATGAAATTGGGCTACCTGTGCTACTATTGGTGTTTTAAAGATATGTCTTTCCAAAGTCCATCTTTCCTCTTGTTGTTGTTGTTCAGTCGCACAGTCCAGTCCAATTCATTGCAATCTTTCCCCTTAAAATGCAGTAATCTATAGAGATCTATAGAGATCCATAGATTGCCAGTGTAAGGTCTCTCCATTGACTGCCTGGAATAATAATACTGGAAAAATAATTGATCTGAATAAATGGGAAGGGATTTGGCAGAATGCAAGACGGCTTAAGGCTGTACCAATAAAAGAAAATGTATTTAAGGTGTGCTATTGATGGTACCTGGCTCCCGATAGGTTGGCCAGGTTCTACCCAGGGTCCAGCAATTTGTGCTGGAAATGTAAATCGCAAGTAGGCTCTTTTTACCATGCATGGTGGACATGCACAGCAGTTAAAAAATACTGGAAAGAGGTTCATTTGGTGATTACACAGGCAATGAAGTTACAAATACCACTTGATCCGGAAATATTCCTGTTAAGTATACTACCGAAAAGCTGGAAAAGGGGGGGGGAAATATGTGGTGATGTATCTACTGGCGGCAGCAAGAATAGTATTAGCTAGGTACTGGAAGATAGAAAAGGTACCTGATAGATGGGATTTTATTAATAAAGTGATTGAAGTGATTGAAATGGATAATTTAACACAAAAACTCCATGGAAGTATGAATTCAGTTTTTCTAAAAACTTGGTCAAATGTATATAAGTGGATTGAAATGAATTTGTAAGCTAGGCATTTATTTAAATAACAATTTGTTAAATCAGATATATTCAAGGAGGGACAGAGGAAGGATCCGTTTTAATTTGATGGTTTGGTGGTTGTTTTTCGGTGGTGGGTTTGTATTTATTGTCTTTATATGTGTATAATAATAATAAATTTATTTTAAAAAAAGTTGCAGTAATCTATAGAGATCTATAGAGATCCATAGATTGCCAGTGTAAGGTCTCTCCAAAATATCCTGAGGACCGCCCATTTGCTTCAAAAGAGCTTGGGTACTGAGGAAGATGCCTTGTCAGTGAGATCAAAATGTAACCCTCATGCTGCAAGGCCTAGGAAGATGCTTCCCATTCTTGCAATGAAAAGGTAGAAACTCTCCCTCAAAATTTTTTAAGACAAGTACTAATGCTCATAGACATATATTGAATATTTAAACACAAACAGCATTTCAAAAGAATGTAATGCACATCATACAGTCACATAAACCACAGACTGATGATACTTGAAGAGGTACAATCCAAAATAGTCCACAAGCACAAGCCCTCTTATTAAGTGGAGTCCAACACCTCACAACTCAATGGAATCAAGTCTAGCAGGCAAAAAGACTGGGTTTTTTTATGTATGCATGGTCATTTCACCTACCTTGACTCACTGTACACTTTGATGAAGGATTGTCTTCGAAACGGTCTTAAGATAACCTATGCTACCATCAACAACAAAACAAGCAGTATACTGGACAGTATTTTCTCTATCCTGTTATTGCCCCTAGGAGAGCTTGTGCTTGTGGACTATTTTGGATTGTACCACTTTAAATATCATCAGTCTGTGCTGAATGTGACTGTATGATGTGCATTACATTCTTTTGAACATTCTTTTGAAATGCTCTATGTGTTTAAATATTCAATATATGTCTAGGAGCATTACTACTTGTCTTAAAAAATTTTGAGGGAGAGTTTCTACCTTTTCATTTTTAGATATACACTCTCCCTTCCCGGTTAGTTTCATCCTATTCTTGCAAGGCCTAAGAAGATGCCCCCCATTCTTCCAGTGCCTACCTCGTCTGGTCAGAACATTTTCACATAATCTGACAAGCTCTGACATGCAAAACTCAAGAATACTGCACTCCTTGCTTTCATGCTTCCCATGGAAGCACAACCCCTTGCAATGCTTGGTCAAGTGTCTGAAACTGCAGCATAAGCTCCAGAACCAGACATGGTATTTCAAGTGTTGAGACTTCGATCCCTTCAATCAAGGAAAATCCATGTAGTGCTCTCACCTCCCTGGAGTCAGTAAGTTTTACACTGGACCACTCTTTCATGCTTTCATCTCATGTTCTGTTTTATTTTGATGTTTTTTGGTAGGTTAATTGAACAGTGGGCTACAACAGTCATGGAGAAACCCCCAACTGGAGCAAGGAAAACAAACACCTCCTTTGCAACAAAATCCGTGAGACACTGGGCATTCATTTAGCAAGAAAAGGGACCCTTTCTCCATTTTCTCTTTTTCTTTCTTGGTGCGGCTTACCCCCAAATGTTCTTTGGGGAGGGATCAACCTCCCCTAAGAGCATTGGGAGAGCCCCCCCCCCCAAGAGGAAGAGGAAAAGGAGAAGGGATCTAGTTTCTTTGCTAAATGAGTGTTTGGTGTCCTCTGCACATGAGATCTTCACGGCCACAGCAAAGGTCAAAGTGTGTGTGTTTGTGTATAGTTCTGAAGCCCTTTGCCCCACACATATCTGTGCCTCCAGATTTGACACTGATCCATAGTCCATACTCTTCCTAAAGCACAAGAGCAAATAACATTTCATCCCTTAATGGCAATCATTTCTGCCTGTTTAATGATGGGCAGGCAAGTGACATGTGCAAAGAATCACCATCCCAAATCAAGGCTTCCGGATCAGCCAAGGTATCAACTCAGATGTTGTTTCCCCCAATCCCTCCCTTCCACTGCTGGACTGTTTCTTTCTAGAGCAAGGTCGGGTCAGCAGGTCAAGACTTCACATCATGATTATAAGAATTAATATTTTAAGCACAAATTATTATAAGTGGTATTATTAGAGTGGGATCAATTCAGTAGTTAATTGCTTATGCCTGCTGCAGAGCTTGATTTGCCTACTAGCCCACAATAGAGGAGCTCAGATTTCATTGTGACACAGGATTGGTTTCCTATTATTCATTTTAATTGCCTGGATGGGTTGCTGTTTTGCAGCTGTTGGGTTTATGTCTAGAGATGGTTACATATCAGCAACTATTCATTTATTTATATGGCACCTGCTTAGAGAGAGCCCACTTGCTTCCTCTCGAATAGTGATACTGCAGAGGTGGCATCCAACCATGGGCAACCACAGTTGTCCGTTTGCCACACACTGCAGCTCTGTTTGCCTGTCCTGGCATCCTATGCTCTGCTAATCAAAACTACCACCCTAATGCTGTTATTAGCACCACCATGGAGAAAAAGACAGGTTTTTAAAAAGTCCTGTCCTTTTTCCTTTGAAGTGCTAGTAGCAAGGTAAACCCACCCTTCCCCGCTCTGATTAGTGAAAGCATGCAGGGTGAAGGGTTAAGCACCCTTCCCTGAGTGTCCCCTATCCAAATCAGAGCTGCAGATGCCTCTAATTTACCTTTATAAAGAGGATGGAGATCTGTCAGATCTTGACCACATCTGTTTTGACCCTAGGTTTCTGGGATCCTATCCAAGGAGAGAGCAGGAATCAGGTTCTTACCTCCATGAATTCAGCGCTGGAGCCCACGTCCTGTCGGAAACACAGCAGGAAGTTCTCCTCTGTGGGCAAGATCTGTGCCAGCTGATGAGGGGGGAAAAGAGGACCGACAAAAGGACATCATAGAGGAAGTATAAGTACATGCACATAAACACACCTTTCCCACCTGCCTTGTGTTGCCATTTTGGTGGTGGGGGAAAAACAGTCACAGGTTGTGGCAGTGTGTTCCCTCTCAGCAGCTCAAGGTTAGCATATTCATTAGCACACTGTAGACTCTCCAGGTAAGTCCTGGTCACAATATAAGACGCCAGGTAAGAAGACAGCAGAAATCCAGGTTATGGCAATATGCCTTCCTTTATGTGTTTCGCTCAAATGACTTCAAATTCTTCTCGTAAAATTCAAGTGAAGCCTGCCACAGCATAGGTACAACAGCCAGTTATTGAACCTATAGGTTACTGTCTCCTCCTGTCCTACCTCTGCTTCCTTGCCAAGGGCTGCTTTGTATAGTTTCCCCATTTTCTTGTGAGGAATGACATGCTTTGCTTATAGACTAACAACATTTGTGGCAGAGTATGAGCTTTTTTGAGTCACTGACGACTTTGAAGTGAGCAGTGCTAGTGACTCACAAAAGCTCATACCCTGCCACAAATTTTGTTAGTCTTTAAGGTGTTATTGGGTGCTTGCTCTTTTCTGCTGCTACAGACAGACTAACATGGCTCACCTCAGAAAGTTCAATTCTGCCATCTGCGTTCTTGTCATATTTTCGCATGAATTCCTTCATCTTTTCTGCAAAGTTGACATTCTTAGATTCCTACAAAAAGGAAAGAAGGGTCATTCCTCTGTTGCTACTTATGTAGAAGAACTTCCTAGAGAGGAACCCGCCCCCTTTTGTTGCATGCATGTTGCAGTAGTTCAAAACATGTTTTCAGGGTGCTCAGCATCTTTCTTGCACGGATGTATTTTTAAATTCACCAAACATATTTTGCAATGTCACTGTTTTCTGCAAGCATTCTCTTCTTGCAGCTGCCTTGTCTAGCATCTTAGAAAATCGCAAAATGTTCATGCATTGGCAAATCAGGGATCCTGGTGGATCAGGTTTCACTCATACACCCCACCTGCAAGTGTCAAAAGATCTAGTTAGGCCCCGGTCACACGAAAGGTTTTGGGCTGGGAGAGGGACGGATCAGGGGCGCAGCAAACGGGCGTGATCCCACCGCAACATCTGGGAAACATTGCACATCCGTCCCCAATCAGGCCCTTCAGGCCGAAAAGCCACATCTAAAATATACCACCTACAGAGGTGGACTTACCAGCACGGCCACATCAAGCACGGCCGTGGGATCGCCGGCACGTCCTTCTGCCGGCGCATCCAAGACCCCCATGCGCAGTTTGGCAGCCTCCGTCTCTGTCTCGTCGCTTTCTCCCCGGTCTCCCCGGCATCTGATCGTGCCGGGAAGCAACTGCGTGGCGGCTCACGGGATCTCTATGACCCCGCCGCCGCGTGTCTATTTTGGTGCAGCTTTCAAAAGCCGCACGCGTGTGCCCCCCCCTCCCCCCCCCCCCCCGTGTGGCAGGGACCTTAATTTAACAAATAACCAATAGCAAACAGGAGGCAAAAATACTAAATAGGCAGATGAGAACCTGAGGGATGACAACTACTATTTCCTATATGAAGCCTGAGTCCAGTGGTATCTTTAAGACCCATGAAGTTTCATTCTGGGTATAAGCTTTTGTGTGCATGCACACACTTCTTCAGAAGTGTGCATGCAGACAAAAGCTTATACCCAGAATGAAACTTTGTTGGCCTTAAAAGGTGCCACTGGACTCCAACTTTGTTCTGCTGCTTCAGACCAACAGGGCTACCCACCTGAATTTGATTTCCTATTGGTAATCTCAGAGGGGCAGCCACATGAGTCTGTAGCAATGAAAGAAAATAGGAGGCCAGTGGCACCCTGAAGACTAACAGAATTTATCCCCGTATAAGCTTTTGTGTGTCAGGGCTCACTTTGTCAGATGCCTCCATTAAGTGAACACTTTTATTTTCTTTCTACTGTGAATATGGCTGTACACTCCAATGAGTCTGATGAAGTGAGTTCGCACTTATAAAAGCTCATGCTTGAATAAAATGCTGTTACTTGCTAGGGTGTCACTGGATCCTACATGATTCAGCGTTTGGCAACCGGTGCAGAGATTCCTGCGCCTTACTCTCCCCAGCCTTACCATCATCTATCTGGCAAAAAAACCTCTTAAAATCATCCCCCCCCCCCCCCCCCCGATTTTATAGCTCCAAGTGCATCCAAGGAGAAAAACCCAAGGAGTATTCCGTAAGTGGCTGAGCCCGAGAACAGTCCGGAAAAAAAGAGTAGATTAAATACTTGTTAGTCTTCTCTTAATATGTGCTTGTGAGACACGCACTAAAGAGAGGGAATGGGTACATAAACCTTGGCATACAAATGAGTAGCTGAGTGGATGCTTCCCTGTATTGCATCCAGCACATTAGTGGACTACAAGAACGGTAACATGCCTGCCCTGGTAACATAGCCTGGGCAAGCCCAATCTCATCAGATCTCGGAAGCTAAGCAGGGCCAACTCTGGCAAGTTACTTGGAAGGGCAACCCCCAAGGAATACCAGAGGCGGGACACAGAGGCATGCTAATCAAGCCAGCTGTCTGAAAAAGATCCAAGCCCCCAGTAGGGGTCACCAGAAATCAATCATGACTTCCAGGCAAGCATACAAATACACACACACAAAAGAACAATAACATTCCTAAGACCACAGCAAAGATGGAATTTGAATCACTGTGCAGTAATTCACAGTCAACCTAGGCGAGGCTGAGTGTATGGGTACCCCAGCTGTATATCGGCTGGGATTACACACCCTGGACAGGGGTCTTTTTGTAGAAAAAGAGCTGCCGGAGCTCATTAGCATAACTCATTAGCATATGCCACACCCCCTGACATCACCAGAAGTGTGTCATAAGGCCACACCCCCTGACATCACCGGAAGTGTGTCAGAAGGCAACACCCACCACTCAGGCTCCACCCCAAAAATCTCCAAGGTATTCCCAACTCAGAGCTGGCGAGCCTATCTGATGGCACACATGGGGGAAAACAAGCAACCCCCCCATTTCTGGTAAAGAGGGAGGATACCAGGTCAATATATTTTTATTCTCCTTGGCATTGATGGCTGAGGTGATTTAGTGTTCCTTTTCTGTTTGACTGGCAGCCTTCCTCCCTGGTATAGTTGACTGCCATTTAGTGTTATTTTTGTCAGCAACAACAAGGTCACTTTCAGAAAAGAAAAGAAAAGCAGGTTACCCATTTTTAAATAAATAATGTTGACAAGTCTGGATCCAGAACAACAAACGAAATCACATCCGCTAATTTTTGCCTAAACAAAACCCAATGATCTAGAGTTGTGGTCTTCAACCCAGAAGAGCAGGATGGTAGGGTGACGTCACTCAGCAGCAAAGAGGAATCCTCCAGGGTGCCAACTGTTGTTTCATTTATCACTAAAATAAACCTCTTGATGACTGTTTTTTGTTTCTTGTCCTTGGCCCTTTCGGTCTGTTGGTTATGGTCCAGGGTGACCTTGGGCCTGTTACACTCTCTCAGCCTTACCTATCTCACAGGATTTCTGTGAGAATAAAATGGGGGAAGGAGAATGATGTAAGCTACTTTGGACCCCCATTGAGGAGAAAAATAGGGTATAAATGAATTAAGTAAAGTAATAATAAATATAACAAGAATAAGCTACTGGGGCCCCTACTGGGGAGAACAGAACAGATGTTTATAATATACTAATTATATTCATACAAATGAAGTAGCTTCCTTCATTCCTTTCCTTGTTGTGCTACTGCATAAATTAGTTTGCTCTGGAGACATCTTTCCAGAACTAAGACAAAAATGTATAAGCCGGAGGCTAAAAAACTGTTAGCTACCTTGCACTTAGAGGGAACACTGGACAAAACACAGGGGCCACCAGAAGGTCCACCTCAGAAGCCCTCCCACTTTTGCCCCCCCAAGCACCAAGAATGCAGAGCATCAGTGCGCCAGATATAAGAACATAAGAGAAGCCATGCTGGATCATGCCAGTGGCCCATCCAGTCCAACACACTGTGTCACACATCGGCCAAAAATACCAGGGGTCCTCCTGAGGTCCACCAGCGGGGCCTGAAATCCAGAAGCCCTCCCACTCTTGCCCCCCAAGCACCAAGTACGCAGAGCATCACTCGTACCGGGGGCTTCGTTCTGGCCGCTTGGAACTCCGCGCGGGCAGAACAAAGCAGCGACCGTGGGTTGGGTGGGGCGGGCCTCGTTCTTCTTCTTCTTTGAAAAAAATATTTATCTGGCACCGGTGAAAGGGGGGGGGAGAAAAAGCAGACAGGACGGAGGAAGCAGCTGCAGTGCAGTGCCAGCCGAAGCTGAAGTAAAAAATAAAAAGGGGGGAAGGGGAAAGTGGGGGGGGGAGAAAATAAGAGGAGAAAGAGAGTGGTAGGGGGGAAAGGGGGGAGAAAGTGAGACAGAGGAGAGTGAGGGGGGAAGGAGAGGAGGAAGAGTGAGTGGGAAAGGAGGGGGAAGGAATGAGTGAGGGAAACAGAGGAGGAGGAGGCGGCAGGCAGGCAGAGGAGGGGAGGGAGAGATGTGGAGACAGGTTAGGTAGGTAGCTGCACTAGCGAGCAGTGGGAAGAGAATTGAGGGAATTTGCCTCTCAGAAACCCCCTTCAGTCTCCCCCTGCTCTAGTCGTGCATCTGCAGCTGGTGTAGAAGAGCTGCCTGAGGCTGGTGCTGCTTTCACGTTCTCATTCTCCCGCCCCCCTTTAGGAGCCTCTCTGCGGTGCGTTGCCGGGCTAAAGTCGATCAAGAGTTGCCATTGAGCCGCTTTGTTCTTTTTCTCTCTCACACACGCAGCATAAAATACTCGGGAGCTCGTGGCCTGGGTGCTGGGGGAAATGGCAGCTCGCTCTGTAGTCGCTTCAGTGACACCCTCAGAACCCAAACAGTTGAAGGTGTGGGGGTGTGAAAGAAAGCTGAGGGGGGCGGGGGGCCTCGTTCTGGCCGTGCGGAGCTCCACGCGGGCAGAATGAAGCAGCGACAGGGGGGCCTCGTTCTGGCCGCACGGAGCTCCGCGCGGGCAGAATGAAGCAGCGATGGGGGGTGGGGGCCTCGTTCTGGCCGCGTGGAACTCCGCGCGGGCAGAATGAAGCAGCAACCAGGGATGGGGAGCTCGTTCTGGCCGCGCGGAGCTCCGTGCGGGCAGAACGAAGCAGCAACAGGGGGGCCTCATTCTGGCCATGCAGAGCTCCGCACGGGCTGAACGAAGCAGCAACGGGGTGGGGTGGGGCTCGTTCTGGCCGCTTGGTTTTCCCATGGCGTGCGGCTCCGCATGGCTCAGAGAAGATTGAGGACATCTTGCCTGGGCCACGTGGAGCTGGAGGCAGCCAGGGGCGGGGCGGGGAGGAAGCGTACTCACCGTGCTGCTTCTTCCTTGTCCTGCCACAAAATGAGGGTGGGAAGGAGAGGGCGAATGGAAGCAGAGGGCAGGGCTTCGTTATGTGCCCGCCTCCTGCTTGCATCACTCCCGGAGCACTGTACTGGCGCGCTCCGGGGCCATCCGAGGCCTGCACACCCATGACACCTGCTCTATAGCTCCGAACCCAGGACTTGTATGGCCTGATGCAAGATAAGGTATCTCTGATTTGACGTGTCTCTGCTGTCTTGTGGAGGAGCCTCTCTTTGCATTTAGCAGTACAATTCCTTCAGTTTGGGGATGTGCGGTGGTAGGACTGACCAGGTTGGGGCACGCACAAGCTGCTGGTCCAGTTGTCCTGATTGGTATGCCCTTCCCAGCAAGCTCTCTGTGCACGGAGCACATATTCCCCCATGACCTGCTCAGCTCTGCCTCTGCAAACCCCTTTGGTTCGAAGCCATATAGCCATCAGGTTCGACTTCACACTAATGAAGGGCTCCTGTCAGACTTCTGCCTACCTCTTACCTCCTGCAGCGACTATTTCCCCGGAGAGTTTTAGCATCAGCTCACCAAGAATCCCTATCTAGCTTATTTCCTGGTCCAATCCCTTTTCCTTTCCTGGATGTGTGATCTATGTGATCGATGTTAAAAGCAGCGGCAATGGCGTTGAATCGATGACGATAAGGCAAAGATGGTGGCGAGCCCGAGTACGGAGACCAGTGCCTGGAGAGCATGACGTGCAACGAAGACTGGAGCCTATTGGACAAAGAGTCGAGCTGCCTTGTTCATGTTCTGTGGGGGCCATCTGCTGGAAAAAAGCCGCTACTGCAGAGAATCCATACTTCAACACTGGACATCTGCGCCCTTGAGGGAAAGAACTACCATCGAATCCATCGCCGAATCCAAGAAGGATCCTGCTGTTAGGTGCCTAGTTAGGAAAATACCCTCCCCTTACCATTGTACTCCTAGCTTAGATAAAAATTATCTGTAAACTGCTCTGAGCCTCATGGATAGGGCGGTATATAAATTGCAAATGTAATGTAATGTAATATGTTCATGGTTTGCAAAGGGAGGCACACCAAACAACAACTGGTGCATCTTGAGACGGTGTCAAATGACTGATTTCTTCCCAAAGGCCTAATGCAACAGCTTAAAGACCACTGCAGTATCTTTGCACAAAAAGTAATATTTTGTCACCTTTATGAAGAAACTTAACTTCTGAGAAGTCATTGAACACACAGCATACATTGGCCAAGCCCCACCCCACCCTAAACCTTAGCGCTGTCTAGTTAAAGACAAAATACATTTCACTAACCATCTGATAACATCAGGCATAGAAAAAACCTATGGATTAAGCCACAGATCAGAAGATTATATGCCAATTCCTGTATGTCATACAAGTGATTCTGCACTATTTTTTTTTTGTAGACTTAGAAAGAGAATAATGTGCCATTTGCTGCACAGCCCCATAGCATATGGAGATCCATGTCCGGGTCTGTTGTCTCTGGTCCTCAAGAAATGGGGACTATTAATGCTACTCCCCCCCACACACACATTCCCCCATTCACACAGGATACCACATAGACCATGAGAATCACACCCTGTTCTTCCTGCTCTTTTATGTCCCCGAGCACCCTGTCCCCCCTTTCCTTTCTCTCAGAAATAACACCCCATTCCATTTTCCTTTTCTTTCCTTTCATCCTTGGTCTCTCTTTCACAGGAATCATCCCTTTTCCTTTTTGGGTCTTTATTCTCCTGAACAAGCAAAGCATGCAGTGCTGGCTCCAGACGTCTTGTCCCCTGAGGCAATGTTACCACCACCTTGCATGCCCCCTCAGATCCCCTTGAGCTGCAGTAGTTAACCCTCCCTATCCTCTCCCTTCACCCTCTCTAAAAATAGTGCACCAAACAAATATGGGCTGAAGGGCTTCTGAAATTTTTATGAAATACCTTCCACTTAATTATTTTGCTTGCCCCCACCCAAACCTGCCTCCTAAGGTGACTGCCTCAATTGGCCTAATGGTAGAGACAGGCTGGATCCCATTTCATTCTGTATACGTACACACACACACACACACACACACACAGAGAAACACTCTACAGTTTCTTTCTTTCTCTCTCTGTTAAAAGAACACTTTATGTTTTCATCTGTTTTCTTTTACAAATGCGGCTGCTGAAGATGCTTTTTCAGGGAGGAGAAGGCCATGAGAAGAGATGAGCTCTTTAACTGTTTCCTGCCTTGCTGTTTTCTTGCTGGAAAAAGCTACCTTTTTACCACTGCTAGGGGAGACTTTTGGGAATCCTTATTTTTTTCCTCCACACTCGCTTTCAAGAGGAAGTATCTGTGAATATTAGGAAATAGACCGCATTCCTGGTCTCTGCTACTCTCTCAGGCTCCTATTGTGCCTCCTACCACCTCTCTGCTTTTCCACACACTCTTCATTCTGAGTGATGGGAGAAAGGGGGGGGGAGGAGACAACTACAGCCTAATGACTGGCAAGAGCATGTTGTGGATTGTGGTCCCCCCTGGGGAAGGGTGGGAGTGGGGTCCAGAGTCTGGAAAGTTGGTCCAGGGTCAGTCTCATGGGCCACCTCCCTACCACTTCTTTGATCTTGCACTGCCATTCTGTGTTACTTCTGGTTTGCCTGTAGTACGAGGGAGCTCTGTGTGCAGTGGGGCTGGTGTCCCATATTCATTATTAATCAGCTCAAAGGAAAGCTCCTGTGGACTGAATGAGAGAGCCATGTGCCATATTTTGCCAAATGAAGAAGAAAAGAATAAGAGATTGGAGTCTCAGAGCACCTTATAATCTCCTTTCCCTTCCCCTCCCCACAACAGACACCCTGTGAGGTAGGTGGGGCTGAGAGAGCTGCTCGTGAGAGAACAGCTCGTGAAACAACTTGTAACTGACCCAAGGTCACACCAGCAGCTGCATGTGGAGGGATGGGGAATAAAACCCGGTTCTTCCAGATTAGAGTCCGTGTTCCTAACTGGCTCTCTGTTCTATTCCATGTAGGGCTGCGGAATCTGGGTCTTGGAGATTTGGTGATGGAGCCTTGTGGGGGGGGGGAACTGATCTCCATCGTCTGGAGATCAGCTGTAATTTTGGACATCTCCAGGTAACAAATAAATATACACAGCAAAAACCTTTTAGCAAACTAATGTGTTCTATTTATGGTCATCATTTAGTAAAGTGCATAGTGTATCATTATTTCATCCTAGTCAGGTATAAATATTCATTACATTCAATAAGCAATAACATTCAATACATACAGATTCCTAACTACCAAACAATTTTGCATCAGTGTTTTAAAAGTCAAGCCCCAACGGGAATTTCTAGAATTATAAGGCCACTTCTCCTTACATGAAGTCTTCCCAAAAGGGGGACAGCCTTCTTGTATTGATGCTTTTTGCCGGTCCTACAAAAGACACATTATGCAGCTAACATTCATGGACAGAGTACTCCTGTCATTCTCAAAGCTGCCATCCCCACTGGCCTGTCTGCTGGCAGTGTACTTCTGGCTGGCTGCGAGTGAGGCACGCCACAGGGTACGTCTGCTCCCCTGTTCCAGCCCTGCCCATGAGCTTCCCTGGGGCCTCTGGCTGGCAACAAACGGCTGGACTTCACGGGGTGTATGCGAGGGTGCCCCTTGACTTATTTAAATGCCCCCCCAAATAAAAACAATCCTGGCTATGGCCCTGTTTACTCATAAAAAGATAAGACGTTGAAGACTGGGGGGTAAGCTAGAGGTGTCAAACTCATTTGTTATGAGGGCTGGATCTGACATAAATGTCACTTTGTCGGGCCGGGCCATGTGTGCCATAAAATGTGATGCCAGGTACCAAAGATAGAAACTGTATAAAGGACAGCAGCTGGTAAGCTCTGAGTTGGTGTATCTTCACTGCAAGGCCCCGTGGGCTGGGAAGGGGGTGCAGACAGAAACCCACATAGGTGGAGAGCAGTGTTCCCTCTAAGCTGAGTTAGTGTGAGCTAGCTCACAATTTTTTAGCCTGCAGCTCACACACTTTTGTCTTAGCTCAGGAAGGATGGCTCCAGAGCAAACTAATTTAGGCAGTAGCCAAATTGCTCGCTCACAACTTTAATGCCAGTAGCTCACAAAGTAGAATTTTTGCTCACAAGACTCTACAGCTTAGAGGGAGCATAGGTGGAGAGGCAGCAGTGCAGCCAGCATGGGCAGATGCTCCCACAGTGCTTGACTGCCGCAGACGAGGTTGTTCTGCTGTGCTGAAGCCCCAATGGAGTAACTCCCCCCCACTCCCCCCCCCAGCACTCCCTCCCTTGCATTAGTTGTTCATGGGCCACATAAGAGCCCTGGACAGGCTGGTTCCGGCCTCCGGGCCTTATGTTTGACACCCCTGTCATAAGCTCTCACTGGTTCTGATGACGGCTTCTAACTGTGAAAATGCAGAGTGGTGACAGACAAGGCTCCCTCTAAGCTGTGGAGTGGTGTGAGCAAAAATTCTACCTTGTGAGCTACTGGCATGAAAGTTGTGAGCGAGTGATTTGGCTACTGTATAAGTCAGTTTGCTCCGGGGCCCTCCTTCCTGAGCTAAGACAAAAATCTGTGAGCCGAAGGCTAAAAAACTGTGAGCTAGCTCACTCTAACTCAGCTTAGAGGGAACACTGGTGACAGATCTACACTTGTTTCAGCTTCCAGGTTTTTTGTATCTCTCTCAGGGCTAGTTCAAATAATAAGTAAACCAAGAGGGTAAGGAAGCTATTCCTGAATTCTGTCCCTTCAGATGGTCTAGCATGCGTGAATGTTCTGGCCCAGCTGACATTCGCAGTAGAAAACAAAACTCTCAGGAAGAATGCTAGAGTGACGTACCCTGTGGGTTAGCTGCCTGCAGCCAAAACAGCCCTGAGACGTGATGAGAGATGAGAGAGAGAAGAGAAGAGATTGGATTTATACCCCGTCCTTTGCTCGGAGTCTCAGAGTGGCTTACAAACTCCTTTCCCTTCCCCTCCCCACAACAGACACCCTGTGAGGTAGGTGGGGG